AAACATCAACAAATTTGCCAAACTGCCTTCTAACAAATGCAGGAAAATGGTAGAAGGTTCACCATCTGTAATCCTTAGAGAAATAATAGACCCAGGAAAAGAGCATTAATGATCTTAAAACCCTTAGGAATAGGTTATTGGGAAACAATATGTGTGTAGTCAGGTATCACCCCAAGATTATTTGCTAGTTGCAAAGAGAAAAAGAAAGAGCCCTGGGGGCACTACTTTATCTTCACCATTAGTGGGGTGTCCTGACAAGTGCCTCCTGATGTGAAGTACTTTATAAAGTGCACAGTGTCAAGCCCACAATTTTTAACCTGAATCTAATGTAAGCCATCAAAGGGTTCTAACCAATCATTTAGACTTAACTTCTAGTTTAGAGGAATAAACTAAAAGTTGCCATGAGGAGTCAGTGAGACAAATTCAGAATGTGGGACATTCTAGAAGAGGCTTGGACTTTTTAAAAAGTCAATGTCAAAACAATAACAACATCAACAGAAAGCTGGAAGCCTGTTCTAAACTAAAGGGAACTAAGGAAACATTACAACCCAAAACAGTGAATGAACTTTGGTGGGATCCGGGTAAGAGAAACTGGCTCCAAAAGACATATTAAAGAAATTGAAATAAGGACAGGGTATGAGATGTTTTTATAAAGAATTGCTAGATTTTTTTATTTATGATAATGGTATTGTGGTTATATGAGACATGTTTAGATGATACATGTTTATGTGTATAGGGTATGATGTCTTCAAATGAATTTCGTATGATTCAGCAGAAAAAGGCAGATAAGACTAAGAGGGCAAAATGTTAACAATTATTGAATCTGGGTGGTGGCTATACACATAATTCCCTATTCTTTCAATTTTTTTAAATGTTTGAAAATTTTTATAATAAAAGTTTAATTTTTTAAAAAAAAAAGCTTGACAGAAGCTGTCCTGTTTAAAGAAAAGCTCTGACGGAAGAGCACAGGGCTCCTAGGAGACAAAACAGAGGGTCAGCAGCAAGAAATCAGCACCCTGTGAGGAAGGGCAGATCCTTTATGCTTCAGGAGTCCAGGCTCCCTTGACAGAGTGGCCAGAAAGAGAGCTGAGAAGGTTAGATAGATGCCCGTGATGAGGGCCTCCTATGCCATCTGTGATCTTCCCCGCCGGCTACAGAGTAATTTTAAAGACTTTAAAGGAGGGAAGGGACCCAATCTGATTTGCGTTCTCAGATGAACACAGCAGTTAGTGTTGACATAGCCCTACCTACGTAATCTGCCCTAAACTACGTCTCTCGTGTTATCTCTCATTGCTGCCCCTCTCTGTACGCCTCCAAAAAGCAACATTCCAGCCAGACAGCACTGTCTTCCATTTCTCCCCTATTCTATGAGGTTTAAGTCTAGACCACCACTCCCCTCTTCAGTCTGGCTCACTCCCACACATCCTTCAGATCTGAGTTTAAATATGATTCATTCCACATATATTTACTGAGTGTCCATTTGCCCATTCAGAAGTAATAAAGGTATAACAGGAATATTTCTTTGTGAAACTTGGAGTCTAATGAGTGACTCTCTCCAGGCAGCCACCTAAGATATTCATGACTGGGATCTACACTCTTCCTGTGGGCTACGACGGCACAGTGGACCTCTCACTTGTCATACTCAATGGTAAGTGTTTACTTCTGTAATTGTTTATTCTAGAAATCCCTCAGAAGAGTGGCCACACTTTTCTTGCTCTCCACTGAGTGAGCAGCACCTAGCCAAGTGTCTGGCATGCGATTGTGCCCAGAATAAAAATTTTGAAACAATGAAGAAATGAATGAATCTGTTCAGGGACAAGGGACCGGAGGCCAAAAGACTTCCAAGAAGTCGTTGCAGTAACTCCTATGAGAAACTGTTAGAACCCTATCTAAGAAAGTGGGTCTGACGGTTGGGAGGAAGAACCAGATCTGAGAAAAAATTAGGAGGTTGAACCAGAGACCTGGTAACCTGTGGGCTGTGGAGAGAAAATCAGAGAGAGGACGGATAAGGGGAATTCTGAGTCTTTGGGTTTGGTACCTGGGTGCTCCTGTCAAAAATTTGGGTTGTTGGAGGAGTTTCAAGTTTTGGGGGAAAGGATAGAGCATTCGTTTGGGGATGTATTGCTTTTGAGATGCCCATTGACATGCAAAAAGAAATAACTAGGACAATTGTGTCCAATTCTGGAGCCCAGAAGAGAGGTCTGGGCTGGAGATAATTTTCAATCCATCACACATAAGCTGTGGTTTATCCATCATGCCCTGTCCTTCTTCTGTTCATGGAATGAAGCTGTTGATGAAAAACAAAATCTTCTACTCGCACATTAATACAACCACATGCATACACATACAGATAAGATTGTGATAATGGTTGTGTAGTTTCAGAAAAGTGGAGATCCTGGGGTTCTGTTCTTGCTTTGGAGGTGGTCTTTGCAAATATTTTTAAACATTATCCATAGAGTATCAGATAAAGTTGTTTTTCCTCTTGTGAGAAAAGGCCCCGTGCAATGAAGTGGATCTGATTTTCAGAAATATTTTCTAATTTCCTATTTTATTCAAAAATATTCTATCTACTGCTTTAAAATATTTTTAGCTTTACAGAGAGACAGAAGATGGGGTTCCCTGTAGAACATTTTGACAGATCCTCATTCTTGAATTTTAAAATGAGGGTTACAATAGCTGCTGACATTTGTTGAGCCCTTACTATATTCCAGGCACTAGACTAAATGTCTGAAGACATAGGGTACCTGTAAGGAGCAGCTTTGTCGGATTATTTATTGAGGATAAATCTCCTGCTCCAGCAAAAATAGGGATTTTTGAAGTATTGCAATATATGGTGATTTGCTTTCTAGAAAAGACCAAAGAGCATTCTCAGTTTACCACATGCTGGAATTGAAGTTGGTTGAATCCTCTTCGGTTCCATCAACTATTAATAGAACTTAGCCTCCTCTGTTTTGCCCTTTTTAATTACTAAATACTGAAGTAGCTTAGAATAAATGATATATAGTAACATGAAGAAGAATAAATATGCTCGTGTGTGTAGTCGTGGCCGAGTGGTTAAGGCGATGGACTAGAAATCCATTGGGGTCTCCCCGCGCAGGTTCGAATCCTGCCGACTACGCTTTGTCTTCTTTACAACGTTCAAGGTCTGTGTATCCTACCTGCCTGGTAGGACTGACCTTCAAGTTACTTTTTAAAATATTAAACATTCTCTCAGACCTTTTACAAGCTACATCAAAACAGAGTTCGCATAGACCACGAAGGAATCCTACTGCATGAGTGAGAAAGAAGAACCAGTAAGACTTTCTTTTAGTTCAGTTCTGAGGTTTTGAGGTTCGCAAGCTGAAAGGAAAGATTTCACACATTCATATTTAGAGCAACAGTAATGCCGCTACTTCCTTTTTCTAAAAGGGTAAGCTACCGATGGTTGCGGGTGGGCCAGTGGCGCAATGGATAACGCGTCTGACTACGGATCAGAAGATTCCAGGTTCGACTCCTGGCTGGCTCGTCACTTTTGTAACTCTTCGAAGTTCCACAAATTCCCATCTTTCCCAGGCCTCTGCGTTAATTTTTTTTAATTTAAAAATGTATTTATTTTATAATATCACTTTATACAAAATGACAAAAATGTTAATAAACAGACTTCAGCTATAGTTCGCTACTCTTCTTTTACATACACGCATTTTCTTTAAATCACATCCCTAAACTGATTGTTTTCGAAGCTGATGAATCCTTACATTAGATGTGTGAGGGAAATTAAAAGAGACCTTTCAAATGCATCATTCTTTTGAGAGTTAAGATTGGAAGTCTCACAAAGAGAAGACTTCTAGATAGCAATTTTTTCTTCTCTCTTTTTTTAAGATTTAGTTTTTTAGATCAGTTACTGGTTCACAGCAAAATTGAGAGGAAAGCACACACACCTTCACACATGCATATCCTCCCCCATTATCAACAGAGCAGGTACATTTGCTACAATCGATGAATCTACTATGGACCAAAGTCCACAGTTTTCATTATTGTTTGCCCTCAATGTTGTACATTCTATGGGTCTGAACAAATGTAGAATGACATGTACCCAGCGTTACAGTATCACGCAGAGGATTTTCACTGCCTGAAAAATCCTCTGTGCTTTGCCTATTCATCCTTCTTCCCCTCACCAACCCCTAGCAACCAATGATCATTTTACTGTTTCTATAGTTTTGCCTTTTCCAGAATGTCATATATTGGAATGATACAGTATGTAGCCTTTCAGATAGGCTTGTTTCACTTAGTAATATGCATTTAAGTTTCCTCCATGTTTCTCATGGCTTGGTAGCTCATTTCTTTTTAATGCTGAGTAATATTCCATTGTCTGCACGTACCACAGTTTATCCATTCACCTACTGAAAGGCATCTTGGTTGCTTCCAAGTTTTTGCAATTATGAATAAAGCTGTTATAAACATCTGTGTGCAGGTTTTTATGTGGACGTAAGTTTCAACTCCTTTGGGCAATCTAACAAGGAGGGCAATTGCTGGATGGTATGAACTGCCAAACCATCTTCCACAGTGGCTCTAACATTTTGCATTCCCACCAGCAAAGAATGAGAGTTCCTGTTGTTCCTCCTCCTCACCAGCATTTGGTGTTCAGTGTCCTGGATTTTGGCTCTTCTAATAGATGTGTAGTGGTATCTCATTGTTGTATTAATTTGTATTCTTCTCAAGATATATGCTTTTCATATGCTTAAAAAATGGGCCAAAGATCTCAACAGACACCTCACCAAAGAGGATGTACAGAAGGCAAATTTTCTTAATAAACTCTCTTCTCCCAAAGGTCTCTTCAGGAGGAAAAGTAACCGCCTTTAGCAGAGGATGGTTTCGATCCATTGACCTCTAGGTTATGGGCCCAGCACGCTCCCGCTGCGCCACTCTGCGGTAAACAAACACAGCCGCACACACACACACACACACACACACACACACACACACACACACACAC